TTTTTTTTTTTGTAATAGATTGATTTTTAGAATGAAAAAATGTTACATTTAGAATTTTATTGTCATTTATTAACGCCAATAAATATGAAATTTTGATCATTCAATTTTTACCATTGCTATTATCTTTTTCGAACAGACCAGTAATTTTTCTATCTATTATACTCGCATAGTAAAATCCAACGTTCTCAAACGAATGTGAATTCCGCTTTTTTCCTTCGAAGTGATTTCAGTAGCTGTTTCTGCTCGTTTAAACATTTGTTCTTTGCTTTTCCCATTTGCATTGACAAACAGCGGCAGAGTAGCTTGCTTTCACTTGAAACGTTGTGTTCTTTTCTTCCCGTTTGTCGCGTAATCATTTTATTATTTCACTAACTTCTCCTAGGATATTATTAGCCAATAATTTTCTAAGGATTCTTCTTCTACTTCATTTTTTCATTTTTTCATTTCTTTATTTGTGATTTCTATTTCTTTGACACAAATTCTAGCTGTAATGTTAATTGCTATTTAAACTAATAATTATTATTAAAAACGTCGTTTGATATTTCGTAACCAATAATGAAGCAACAAGTGCAAATGAAAATTTTCCAACCGGTGGTCATAAGTGGATGTGTTAACTTTCAAGTTAAAAATTATTAAGACAAACATTAGTTTAAGCATGTCTAATAAATTGAAGACTTTCATAGACCCTCGAAAGCCAAATCTCTAAACACGTTCGTTATTAGATACACCACCAGCCATAATCAATTCATTTCTAACAAATAGCCAAATGCTTCACACACCTTTCCAATGTGTTTAGAAACACATACACATTTCAAGTACAGTTCTAAATATTTCGACAAATACAACCGCCAGCCATTATATTTATTTATTCGTTTTATCAACACCTGTTGCATGTGTGTTAGGATTAAATTTCATTTGAATATTTTATTTATACTGCAATGATCCACAAGCGGCCCAAACAGTTGTGCATTCATTTTAAAATTAATCAGGGGATGTTGTCATAATTTGTTGACAACTTTTTGATACCCTTAATTCCAGAAAAAATTAATATACTAAATGATAATCTAGTATCTTAAACAAATTTGTCCAAACAAATATATTGCACACTGTCGATTTTATTTATGTATATAATCACGTATGAAATCGAAATAATTAACGAATTAATTAACAGACATTAGTATAGCATCT